TGATCAGCGGTTGCCAGGGGCTGGGTGTGTGTGTGTGCGTGTTTGGGAGGGGAGGAGGATGTGACTATAAGGGATAGTATGAAGGGGTTTTTTGGTGATAGAAGTGTTCTGTTTCCTGACTCTGTGGTGGTTAAATGAATCTACACTTGTTTTCAATTACTAGAACTGTACAACCTTGCCCCCTCCCCTAAAAAGTTCAAATTTATGGCATGATAATGTTTTGCTATGAAATATTAAATGTTAATTAGACTTGTGGTGATCATTTTGCAATATATACCAATATTGAATAATTATAAACTAAGATAATGTTATATATCAATTACACCTCAATAAAAAGAGTTGCACTATAACACTAAAACGCTGTGTCATCTTGACGAGCTGTTTCTCTAACAAGTCTTGTAATCCATCTTAACTAGGCTGTGCCTGTGTTAAGAAGCAGTAGACAATAGCAGCAGTTTCTTAGATTCCTTAGTTTGTCCTTTTTTTCCTTATGAAGAGAATGACGCCTGTGACGGCAACTCAGCCAAAGACTCAGAGACCCTCACCTGTAATGAATGTCCAGGGCTTTGCTTTTCAAGGAGAGCCATGGTTGAAGAAAGGAATGGTGAGCCTCTATGCTTCCTCAGTGGCTCTCAAAGTGTGGTTCACGGAAGCCTGGTAGTCTAAACCTTTTCAGGCGGTCCACAAGGTCAGAACTATTTTTTAATGCTGGGATGTTTTTGCCTTTTTCACTGACGATGCAAAAGCAGTGGTGGGTAAGGTACTCTAGCACAAATCAAGATAGAGGCACCAGATTGTACTGTAGAGATTGTATGCTTTGTTGGTGCACACTCGCATCTTAAAAAAAAAAGTACCAGTTTCACTTAAGGTCCTCATTAAAGCAGTACAAATTCTTTTAACAACTCCAAACCCGTGGCTCCGGATTGTCTTAATACACTGTGTGGTGAAGCGGAAGTACACATAAAACACTTCTGCTGCTTCCGAAGGACAACAGTGCCTCGAGGGAAAGTCTTTGAAATTTGCATGAGCTACCTTATCACGCGACACCGTTTTTACTTGAATAAAACTAAACAAACCAAAACACAAACAAAAAAAGCCTCAGATGAAAGAGTATTACTTTTCACATAGAAGCTCAAGAAGTAACATAGTTTGTTCCGGATTGGAGAAAGGATTCACGGCTTCATGAAGGATGAGGCATTGAAAAATGCCTGTGGAAGGCACAGTGTGTAACAGTTGTCACCATCTGTCTTCTCTGATGGACCCTATATAATGAGGGCAGGATCAGTGTCTAGCTTGTTCCCCCCTGGAGATGCAGCAACTAAGCAATGCTCTTTACATATTGGTCGCTCAATAAGTCTATGAGTAATTGCCCTATTGCCTATGATAATAATATGCAGAGTTACAATAGAGGAAATTCTAAGAAAAGTGAAAAACGAGACAAAATGCCTGAAAGTTCCTCCCCACCCTTTATAAATCCCTCTTCAAGGTCAAAGTTCTAGCTCGTGCCCCCGATTCTTCCAGCCCACGCTAGTCTTCCCAGCTTGTCCAAACCTGTTCTATCAACTAGCTCTAATATTTTAGTGTAGTACTTCTCAATATTTTAAAGCCCGTGTCTCATTTCCTTTAAAAGTTATTAAAATGTGCTTTTTATATTATTTAAATTTTAAAATGCATTGTATTGAGTGAGTAAAATCAAATCAAAGCACTGCTTAGCTCAACCTTTGCTTCCTTCCTGCAGTCCTCCAAGAGTCTTATCCCCCTCGCCTCCAAAACTGGGCGAGCCTCTCTTCCTCCTCTGTTCCCGTACCCTCATCACCGGTTTATGCTTAAGGACCAGTGTTCACTAATTCAAGACAATATTATTCCTTAACAGGACAACACGCAACTCATTCCCCAGCTCGCTCTTCTCCTGAGGCTAGAAATCATGCCACTTGCTTTTCCATGACAACTAATGCCCGAGGTAATAGATACTTGCCAATTGGTTGTCCCTGTGGACCATTCTTCCGGCCTACTCATCTCCTAAAATTTTTACTGCCTGCTAAGAAAACAATTCTTTCAAAAGCTAAATCCAATTTTTGCAAAAGATGTTTAGAAAAAGCACAGAGAAATTTACTTTTTTGTGTGTATGAGGAAGATTTGCTCTGAGCTAACATCTGTGCCAATCTTCCTTTATTTTGTATGTGGGTTGCTGCCACAACATGGCTTGACAAGGGGTGTAGGTTTGTGCCCAGGGAACCAAACCCAGGGTGCCGAAGTGGAGTATGCCAGTCTTAACCACTATGCCATGGGCCTGACCCAAATTTACTTTTTGGTAATGCTGCACACTCACATCTGAAACTACCAGAACACTTACAGTGCTGGTATTCTGTAACTGGCACTTTTGCATTTACATCATATGTTGACATTGGCTTCAAGAATATGTATAAAATGTTGCATATTTATCAATTGTGTCTAAAAGAAATTGAAAAATATATATTTTTTAATCTGGAGGGAATGAAACCATACCTGTAACCCCTTTCTAATATGTAGGTCTTCTTTTTAAAATTAATATATATCTTCAGAAATGTATTATGTCAAAAAAATAAAGTACCTACTTTTAAAGTATAAAATTCACTTTGGTCAAAAATCACAAATGTGGAAAGCTTGTGACTTATTCTAAAGGACTGAGAATGCCTATTCTTCATCTTCCTCAGACAATTCTAGCCATAGCTAACAGGCACAGACACTTCAAAGCAACCAAAATCCTTTGCCCCCTGGACTTGGAGCAAACATTCCTAGGTCCGGACCCTAAGCTGTCTCCCCACATGAATCTCATCTACATTCCCTATCAGTTCCACTGTTTGCCTTATTTCTCCTCAAATCATTATGTAGTTCTTTTTCTCCCCCAGAAATTAAGCTAGGCTGAGGAGCAAAGATAGGCTTTATAATACTACGTAAAGCTAGCAGGGCTATCTCTGTGCCCTTATATTTGTAACTTCAAGAAGTGAAAGTCAGTATCTTTTTAAGAGCAGAAGTATCCACTTCACAAGTTAAAAATAATTTTTATGTATTCTCTAGTAAGATGGGTGTACATGCCTGTGTATGGATATACCCAGGCTCTACAACACACTTCACCAAAGGAGTCTTAGAAGTCGGGAAGGACTCAACCCAGGGCTGAGAAATACTATTAATCAGTCTCTCTCTCTCTCTAATGAATAATAAAATAATATGCTCACCCTCTGGTGGCCAAAATAAGAAATACATTTCCATTTTCCTGGATTACATCCCAGACATGATTAATGTGGTATATTACCCGCCTCATATTTAACCTACTCCAAAAATACATCTAAAAGAAGGCCACTGGCTTTTTTTTTTTTTTTTAAAAAAACAGGTCTAATACAATATCTAATGGAAAATCAACAAAATTATTAAGTACAATAACTTAAGAATTGCTTATAATATGACAGAATTTGGTACTTACCACTAATTTGGTTTTAAAATATCAGAACTGTAGAATTTTAGAGTAGGAGGGAATTACAGTGATCATTTAGTCTTCCCCTCCCAAACTGTTTATTAATAATCAGTGAAAAAACTAAATTTTTATTTCATTTTGTTTTAGTTGTTTTCCACTGTTAGTTAATGACATGAAAAACAAAGTCTGAGTAAATGGAATTGAATAAAAAGGCTTTTTTAAATGTTTCTATTTTTAATTTACAAATAGCCCTAAGAATTAGGAAAAATCCATGCCACTTATAAGTTTATTTTAATTTTCTGCCCACTTTATTCAACTGTCCAACAAATATTTGTTGCACATCTATTACGGTTTCTATGGCATATGCTGGAATTATAACTGTCCCTGCTTTCAGCCTAGTGAAGGGGACAGATAAGCGGTGATTGCCGTATGTGCGACGAGCACCATAACCAAGAGTGAGCACGAGGAATAAGGACCATCCAAGTGGTCTTGGTGGGGAGGGTAATCAGGAAAATTCTTGGGAAAGGTGACACATTCACTGAAACCTGAAGGAAGAAGAGGAAGAATCATTCTACAGGCAAGAAGGAAACATCACATCCAAAGGGCCTGAGGTGAGAATGTGGAAAGTGGGAGAAGCTACAGAAGTATAGTTGAAAAGAAGCCTGAAAAGGAATGGTCAGAGGTGGGAAGAAAATCTGAAGAATATGGGTATCCCAGAAAGGTCAACACTGTCCAACACTGGAGAGAAGACTAAAACATCCCCTAGATTTAATGACAAGGAAGTTACGATGTCCTGGGGGGAACAACCACTAGCTGAATTAACGGGAAAGAAGGAACGGGAGTGAGGAAGTGAGCCTAGCAAACGTGGACAATTGTTTCAAGTCCTTGTGCTGTGAAGGGGAGGACAGAAATAAGGATAGAGATGGGGAATGAGAGGTTTCTTAAAGACGAAGAGTCTGGAACATGTGTCAATAATAATGGGAAAAAGCCAATGTCGAGGGAGTGTTTGTAGATAAAACTCATTCTTGGGGAACTATAATGCAAATACTAAGGAAATAGGCAGGGATGGGACCTAGAGCACAGGAGAGAATGGGGTATCTAGAAGTCTTTTGCTAAGCTGGATCCTTGTTTTTTTTTTAAATTAAACCGCATGAAAGGTAACCTCAGAAAATAATACTGTCAATCTCTGCATAACTACCCTGAAAAAGGGAAGAACCTCTCGAAATTAAAGAAAACATTCTTATATGTTAACCAACTGTATTTGGTTGGATAAAGAATTACTATTAAACTATGAGTCAGGTATACAAGGACTTGAATTAAATTTAACTTGAAATGAAATATCTTTGTCTTTTCCACTGTTGAAAATGGGACCATAAGATAGTTTTTTTCCTCTCTCATAAGTGAGGTAGGAGAAGAAAAATAAAGGCTTGGTATGTCTAAGTGGTGACAGTGGTGGAAGATAAGCCTTAAGTGCTCACTAGTCCTTTCTTGAGTCTCCGTGTTCCAATGATACCACCTATCACCCTATTACAAAACACCTTTTAACAACTTGGGGCAAAGGCAACTTTATTATACGCTTTTGGTAATATAGCCAGATAATTAATTTCCTGCAACTTGATACTTTGTGAGATGGAATATACAGTCACATTTATTGGGTTTACAAAGCACCTGGCAATTAATAAAATGTTTCACGTAGCATTGCTTTTTAAGACATCATCTGAAGAATTCAAACTGCTAGATAACGATAACTCACTTTACAGATGTCTAAATCAAGGGCCAAAATTCCAAATGACATTTAAACTATGGGCTAGCATGTACTGGGTACAAAAATAATATACTGCCATACTGGTATTCATATTTCAAAAGCTGACATTTACTGGCCAAGTATTCTGTTACTGATATGGTTATACAGTTCTTAATTGCTTAATATAGTTTTTGATGTGCTATACTAGTCATCATTAAGTGCTATTTAGATTTAATTCCTACTATTTCAGAAAACACTTAATTAAAAGCAATCCACAAGAAAATTCATTAAAGAAAATTACTGTCAGAACAAAATATTCCTACTGTTGTGATTAGATTTTGGCTTAATATAAAAATCAATTTCTCCAAATTTTGCTTTAATTGTATTTTCTGATTGGAAAATTAATATATAATTAAATGGCTATTTCTGCATTACATTTTCTTTTTTTCCTTTTAATGATTTTATTAGTATGGTCACAAGTTTGACGTCTACAGTACATTGATAACATAGCCGAACACAATATTTGAAATAAGTAAATTACATCATTGTGACAAGTTTTAGGATGTCAGCTGACTGCTGGTGCATCTCGCATGCATGTGCATCTGCACACCCAACTTGCACAGCTCCATGGTGCTCGTCCCCGCTGGGTGCTGGTGCGTGCCTCAGCCAGGTCGGACACAGGAGCTGTCGTGCCCTTATGCAGACCCAGATTTTCAAGGGAAGCAGTGTGGAACTCAGGAATCCCCTGCAGCATGGTGGCAACACCGGTTTTGCTTTGGTTCAGGTAAAAATGCAATTATCGATTATTGCTTGTGTGAGGCCACCTGACCCCCCAGGACTTGGCCCAGCATAAAGGGTATTTTGACAGCCCTGCACGAGGCCAGTAGGCAGTTTCTGTACACGTTTCCTTTCCAGGAGAAGTCTAGAACTGAGATGCGCAGCCTTCCAACATGCTGTCGGTGACACAGCTGGAACTCAGACAGGATTTGTGTAACTTTCTCTCATTAAAGGTACTGAGGGGGAGCAGAACACGCCACCCCAAAATGTGTCACTTTGGCATGTCGATTATTTCGAGCTGAAGCCAAGTGAGACCCAGTAGACTCAGGAAAAGCTTTTTCCCTCTCCCTTAACTGCCTAAAAGGATTTAGACAGGGGCCTGTACCAGGAAGAGCTGTCACCAGAGATGACTTTCTATGTCAGAAAGACTATCCACACGGCAGGGCAAACACTGTGCCACGGAAGAGCAGGCAATGTTGTTATTGTTTAGTTGAGGAAACTCCATCCACATTTTCTTTAGAGCACGAGGGGCCATATTTGCACGGCCTCTGACACCAAAGACGACTGTGAGGTTGTGGTCCAGGTACTCTGCACCGGCTTCCCTCAGGGCAGAGATCTTCTCATCAAGGAAATCATTCCTGAATCTGTGACATGCTGCAGGATTGAGTTCTCTAATTGTTTAAATGTCAAATCACACATCGACCAGTCCCATCCTATCTACTGCGCGATGGTGCACTGAGCCGGGAGTCCTCTCCCAAGGATACTCAAGATCCAACTCCACGCTGTCGCTCCAATCTTAGCTGCCTGCCGAACCACCGCCAGTGTGGGTGAGGGTGGAAATGCGGTTCCTGGGCTTGAGCAGCTGCAGGGCCATGCAGGAGGGCACCAGCTCCAAGCTGAAAAGGTGCAGGAGGAGGGAGAGGCTGCCCGAAGAGGCAGGCATTGGAGGGGCTGCATGTCACCACCAGCAGCAGCAGGCAGAAGGGGCCCAGGAGGTCCCCTGGTCCTCCCACAGCCATATGCCTGGGACTACACTATCATGGACAGGAGTCCTGGATCTGCTGGGCTCCCAGGGCAGGGGAGTGAGAAGCCAAGGGTGTGAGCCCAAGACACTCGCCATAGCTGGCCCATTTACATTTTCTAGTTTTTGTTTGATAAATAAGATAAACCAAAAGTGTATAGGATTTTGTAGAATTCATTGAGTATTACTTTTTAAAAGCTTACCTGTAATTTTATTTTGATTTACTATTCCTAAATTAAATGTGCCCAGACTGCCCATTAAATTAAAAAGAAGGCCAAACAATAAAAGTATTATTTATATTTTAATAATGAAGTATATAACATGGGCACAAAATATAAATCCATACAAATAGATTATTATTTATGTACATCAATTAAACTGATTAACATTTAGTTGATCAGCAAATAACAGACTAAACCTGAAATAATTTTTCTTAGTTTGTTAGCCTCAAATAGGATTATTTCCTAAAAACAGTCTTAAGATATGAGGGAATACACACAGTGAGACATCCACTCCTGTTGTCCATTCAGAGGCATCACATGTTGACAAACCTGCATACAGAAATAGAAAGCTTTTACTTTCCCTTTATATATCATTACTTTGGGCTAATTTTTCAACAGAACAACATTTCCAGGCCTATGTAAAAAATACCCCTGTGCAGATAAAATTCCATAATTTGTCCTTATCAGGGGCCTGCCGTCTATGACCTGATGTCTAACAGGACAATCCGGCCTGAGTTCTCCTGCGACAGAGCAGCTGACGGCTGGTGCGTGTGAACGTGGGGCAAGGCGGTGGAGAGGCGAGCAAAGACCCTCCCCTCACGAGCCTAGAGTGCTTCCTAAAATCCTCACGGAGACAACGGGGAGGAAACTCTCTTTACCCTGTTGTAGAAGGTGTAGGATTTCACGGACAATCTGAAGGAAGAAAGGGTAAGAACAGAAAGCCTTTTCCGTTTTCCCCTGACTAGAGCAGTTTGCGAGTCTGCTGACCTGCCCCTGCCTTTGAACTCTGGCTGAATCAGAAACCCAGAGTTCTGCTGACACCAGAACTGCGGCCGTTCCTGGCTCCTCACTTAGCTGCTTGTCTAAAATTCAGAGGCGCTTTCTCTTTCACGTTACCTTAGAAAAATCTTCATAATGTAGATAAAAATATTTTGGAATATCAAAAGTCCTATTGCTATTAATACTACTTTGTAACTCTATATGATGTTCAAAAGTGCTTTCATGTACATCATTTTATTTTTATCTTTACATTAACCTTGTGAGGTACCTAAGTTGGTGATATTAATTTTACCTTTAAAGAGACAGGAACAGAGAGGTTAAGCAAACGTCCCATAATCACTCAACCAAACAGTGAGGACTGAGTTAGAACCAGTCTCCTATCTCCTAAATAGGATGACTGACACTAATACAAATATCATATTTAAAATAATTTTCTACTCTATTTCATATCTACACATTTATTCATAGCACTAACAGAAAAAATTTCTTTTCACATTGATAAAACAAAAAGCTCTAATTAGAAGACCACGTTACCATCGCAGATTTGGGTGCCACTTCGACTGCAAAGATGTTGAGTCCTCTGTTGTTCACGCAGTTTCTACTCAGCTCGTTGCTGATGTGAATAATCGCTTTATTATCTGACTATGAAAAAGACTTCGTAAGTGGCCAGTCCTTTCTTTAATAAATACAAATAAAATGAATTACAAAACACACTGTAAGTCTTGCGACAGAGGTATGCACAGGGTTCTACAGGAACAGAAATATTAGCTCGGACTAGGGTATCAAGGAAGACCTCAGGAAGAGGAGATACCTGAGATGGCAGACCACAGACGACAGAGAGCCTCCAGGATGGACAGCAAGCAAGGGAAAGCAGCAGGCAGCTGACAGTGAGAGAAACGCAGCAGCAAAGCGCCCCTGCTCACGGGGCTGCACGCCCTGCCTGCGGCCCACCACAGAAGGGCAGCACTGGGCTCCCTGGACTTGGTCTCAGCTCTTCCACTACTGAGCTGTGTGACCTTTTGCAAGTTATTTGATGCCCTGTGCTTCAGTTTCCTTGTGTGTATAATGGGGACAGTACTTACCTCGTCGGGTGGTTGTGAGAAGTGAACGTGTTAATATACATAAAGTGCCTGGCACATTGTAAGCTCTCAGATATTATTATTACCTCATTTTGGTGAAGGGAAGTTTAATTTTCCTTAAAAAGAAGGAGGTGGAGAGTTGAGAAATGATAGGTAATTGCAGAGCTGAGGGATCAGGGTAAGGTAGTGACTCCCTTCCACCCTTTTAATCCTAATAACACAGAGGGCAGAAAGGGAAGCTTGCTGGATCTTGGGAGTCACCCTCCAAAGCTTTACCATCCATTTGAAGATTGCAGTCTACCAGCCTAATTCATCAAATCCAAACTCGTCTATTTCATTCTCAAGACAACATACACAACCTGGGCCCATTCTGCCTGTGTTATTTACCTTCCTAATACTCCTCCAAATAAAGGTCTGTGTTTCTCAGAGCAGGTATTCTCACTCTTTCCCTGTCCTTCGCGTTGGCCCTCCTCACCCTTCTCTCGCACTGCTCCCTGCTTCGAAGGGCCGTCTTTCTGCATAGCTGCATCCTAGCTACTCTTCAAACCCCACACGGTCCCCTTGCCTCTCGCCACAAATCCTTCCCCAACTTCTGCAGTCCAAACCAACATCAACTACAAAAGACATGAATGCAGCAAAACTCCTTTTACACATACAAGCAGAACCATATAATTTAACATTTAATTATTCTCTGATTTCTTTCAACAGTATTAAAATTTTGTCTTTCCAACTAGCCTTTAACTCCTTGAAAGCAGAGACCATGTTACACTTTCTGTCAGCCCCTGTTGTGACTAGGAGAGTTAGTTACATAATACACACTAACATTGACTCAATATTCAGCCAAATCTTAAGAACTTTAAGAAATTTAGGGAAGGCAAAAAATAATGTAAGTCTCACCCAGGAACTAAAAGAAATAAGCCAATAGTCCTAAAAACCCAGGCATCCTGAGTAAGATTTTATGAAAATTTATAATTTCTAGAAAACTGGGTATCTCTGACTTTACAAATTTATGCATGTATTCTCTTGATCTGCAATATCAATGGTAGCAGGGAAGATGGCCAAAGCTAGACATAGTTGGCTTGATAACAAAAGGTCCTGGACAGTGGAATATATTTAATTAGATAAACTGATGATAGTCTACAGGATTTCTGATATTGCAAAGTTTGTGTAAAAAGTTGGGTTACATTTTTTTATGTTGTTTATATTCCTTTAAAACGTGCTGTCTATTATTTAAAACAGCTATGTATGCGTGAAGACTTCTAGTAATAAACTAAATAAAACACTTTGTACCCAGATTATGCTCTATCTTCATAGATCTCTAAATAATTTTTATTGGAGAAAAATATCCTAAGAGAAAAACAATGATCTCAAGCCTTTAAAAAACAGAAAAATGATCATGCTCAGTTTGAGTTAGAAACCTGAGGAGAAAGAATACTTGCCTATTATAAATATTACTAATGTAATGGGATATTTAATTGCTGTGCAAGAATAGAGTAAGAAAGAAGATGGAACATACTAGTAACCACCGCGGTCACAAGGCGCACCACCTCATAACTGGTACCTTGTTCTCAATAACTGATGTTATCCAGGTGTCACACGTATAGGTATGTACAATTATGTCTTCATAGCCGTCCATTACTTTGGCATCACCTTTGCTGAGGACGGACTTACAAACGGCCTTCTCAAGTTGCCCACTGCATGCCTCCATGTGAACAGCTTTAATTCTTGGCTTGCATTTGTCTGCATAGACATCAATGACAAATGGGCATGCCTGATGTGAGAGAAAAAGCAGACCTTGTTTTAACCTTTGATAGAATTGAAAATTATTTATTGTTAAAATGTTCATCGTATGATGTAAGAAGCACTGTACTTTCTAGCTGGTCCTTCTGACAAACGTTCAGAGAGAAACTTCAGTACTATGAATTGAGTAATAAAACCATGAAATTCTGATTTTTTTGGAAGCATATTTTTAGTTATGTTCACAGAAAAGGAAAGAAAACTAAAACCTCTAGCAAATCAGCCATACACTCTGTAAGCAATAGCACCACCTCTCCACTTGGTTTAGAGCTAACTTATGTCATAGTAGTTATTTAACTTCCTTTTCTAACTTTAAGGCTACAGAAAGAATTCATCAAAGGGCTCTAAACAAATTATTATGTTTACAATTGAAACAATGCATGGATATAGAGCACCAAAAAGAACTAAATGCAAAAAAATAAATTCACAGTTCAAAGTTAGTATAAAATCACCTTCAAAATCTAGGATCTAAAAAGACTTTGTGCATTTGGAAATGGATTTTTCTGATGTCTGCCTTTTAGTCTTTACCATAGCCCACAGGATGCTGCACACAGCAGCTGCTGCCTCTCCGGCCAGCCCAGCCTCCCGCTCGCCACACTCCAGCTACTCTGAGCCTCCAGATGCTGGAACAAAGGAAGCTCTTTCCTACGGCATGGCCTTCGATTGGAGGGTTCTCTCTGCGTGGAAGATTCTTTCACATCTTTTCACATGTGTTCCTCATCCTCTGCCATCAGGTCAAAGCTCAAGTGTCACCCTCTGCAGAGAGAGCTGCCCAGGTCCCAGCTCCTTCACACCCCATCCCCCCCCCCCCCCCCAACTTCTTCTCTACTTTGGCCTCTGGCTTGTTTCTTTCAAAACTCTTTTGAAATGATTTTATTTATTTTCCATTTAATTAATCATTCTCCTTCAGGGAAGGCAGGAATTTTGACTATTTTATTCATCATTGTGTCCTCCCTGCCTCTTTATTACATGCTTACCCCACAGAAGGCATTCAATACGTATTTGTTAAATAAACGAATGAATTCACACACATTGACGATCATCTTTCTATTTGGGGGCAAAAGATAAAAGTCTGAAGTTAGTAGAATATGAATAGACATTTTTATTTTAAAAAAAAGTTTTAAAATATTTTAATGACTCCCAACCTTTGCCAATAATAAAGTCATCTTTTTAAGAGAGAGAATAGAATAAAAAATCATTGGACTAAAAGCAGAAGACCTGGGTTTGTAACTGGATTTTGCCACTTACTGGTTACACGATCTGGGGCAAGTCACTTAACTCCTATGAGGCTTAGCTTCTTCATTGAGAAAGTGGGAATAGACAGAATATATTCTCTTAAGGATTGTTGGAAATAGCTAATAGGTGATATGTGCCAAAATATTTTACAATATAGAATTCTAAAAAAAAAAAGATTATAATAATTATGATTGTGAAATTTTAAAGTCTTGATTTATTTTTTCAGTATTGAATAGAGTCTGGTATTGTTTTGCCATTTTGAAAGTCCTGGTGATCGGTTTTATTTAACCAAGTTACTATTTAAAGATTCTCTGAAAGTAAAGATCCTAAAGGTCCTTGTTAAAGACATGTTCTCTAAAATTTTAAAAATAAAATCTTGGGGCCGGCCCAGTGGCGCAGGCCTTATGTTTGCACATTCTGCTTCAGCGGCCTGGGGTGTGCCGGTTCGGATCCCAGGCATGGAACTACACACAGCTAGTCAAGCATGCTGTGGCAGGCATCCCACATATAAAGTAGAGAAAGATGGGCACAGATGTTAGCTCAGGGCCAGTCTTCCTCAGCAAAAAGAGGAGGATTGGCAGCAGATGTTAGCTCAGGGCCAATCTTCCTCAGCAAAAAGAGAAGGATTGGCAGCAGATGTTAGCTCAGGGCCAATCTTCCTCAAAAAAGAGTTAAATAAATAAAATCTTATCTACTCTAAAAAAGCTGCCCTATAACTATACAATTTTTTCTGTTCATGGGCTTGAAATTTTATTTAATTATTCTCTTTATCCTAATAAGTTAATACAGGAAGCACACAAGCAAGAAAACTGTTCATTGTAAACTGTTAATTTAACAAATATTAACAGTATATAATACAGAGGATGGGGAAGACTGTAATAATAAAGTCTGGATTAGGGCATGCTACTTAAATTTAGCACAAAACGTGGCCCTCAGCTACCTGTTAGCCAAGGCAAAAGTGAAATAAAGTGTGTTACATAGCTCCTAAAATCTAAAAAAATGAAGTAAATTTTTCCCACTTCTGAATTCTAAAAGGAATCTATACCATGAAATTCTTTTTAAAAAAGAAGAGAAGAAAAAAAAAATGAAAAACTAGACAAATGTTTTGCTTATCGACCTTCAATAAAAGAGCAAAGTATTAAGTTATGGTGACACAGGGGCAATGCCCTTGGGGCAAGAACAGTGAAGAAGTTACGCTTGTTCTTTGAAAGAGAATCTGCTTTATAGGTTGATCTAGAGAATGGATAATCTACAATTCTAAAACCTGAATTGGCAGGTTTAATGAGAAAAAATAAAGTAAAAATGACTGGTGGTGCCTGATTGTGCAGGGAAAAAATATCAGAAGACAAACCAAGACTGTAGTGTAGGTTACAGAATGCTTAAAACGAAATGAACTTTATTTGTCTGGGTTTACTAAAACCATTCAAATAATGGGATTTCAAACAATCCTAAACCCCTCCCCAAATCCTCACCTGTAACTGATACTTCGGTTACTCTTTGTGACACAATACCTACTAATTTAATAGGTGGGACCAAATTTTAGCTCAAATCAGCATTAGATTACTCAGGTTATATATGATTCAAGAATTACCAAAGATATGGCTATGGTTCCAGAATCCTTACAGGCCAAACTTACAGACATGTTCAAATCAATCAGAATACAGGTCTGAAGATTATAGATTGATTCTTCCTAGATTATCATAAACCTTTCTTTTTTCACAAACACGGAAATGTTGGGTCATGCTCTAGGCATGCTAACTTTGTAACACAGCACACACCAAAGAGCCACTGTCTCTCACCTCCTTGCCTCGGAGCACGGCAAGCTCCAGTCAAAATATCTCCACATCTCATATGAATCCTTTAAATCAAATGCTACCACATGTATAAACCCCGATTACTAATGGGAACCACTCAACATTCTTGTACCAGTTGATTAATTATGAATTGTTACTTTCTCCTTCTTGTTACCATCTGCTGGTGTAATACTTTAATCCAAAAACTCTGTAACCCTTACTGAACGAGGAGAATCTTCGCATTGTAACTATGTAAATCAAGACATATCCATGCCCAGAACAAAATTTCTGGATTCTCCAACAGCAAATCCTGACTTAATATTGTTTGTTGGTGGGTTTTATATTAAAAAATAAAAGGACAATACCAGGCTTGACATACAATAAGTAGACTAGTCTCTTTTGTAAAATATATTTCCTTACCAGGAAACAGCTCAGCTCAAATGACTAAACTGTGGCTCTCTCTAAGGCATGTCAAATTACTAAAAGAAGAGAGTGAAATATATGAATAGGTAGTATGCTGTTAGAATAACTGACTTTTTAAAAATGTTATAGAAAAAACCAGGGTTTTTTTTTTTCCACTTTCTCAAGTACCCTTTAAAAATGAACAACAAATACATTATTTGATACCTAAAGTAACTGCTATCAAAGAGACTTAAAGAAGTTCTATAGAAGCTACTATAGTGTACTATAGATACTATAGAAATACTTTAAAAGTACTGTAGAAACACTCTAGAAATACTATAGAAACACTTTTCACAGATCATTATACTAGACAGACTACTCTGACTAAAGTCCTTATATAAACAACAACAGAGGAAAACAAATCAATAGAGAAGTTGCAAGGATTCCACTGTAGATACATAAAACTTGGCCTACCAAATTTTCCAAAGAAACAATGGGTATGATCAGGTTGTGAGAGCCATGAGGGTGAAAGCTGGGAAACCCAGACGGCTGCCTGAACATTAGCTAAAATCCTGCATGAAACAACTCATTCCAGTCGGGACAAACTGGCTACAGTACTAAACACCGAGGGAAAACCTTCCCAGGACAGTGAAGGATGTGGTCAGTCCATGCACGCTTCACCTGCAACTAAATTCACCTGGAAAAACTGTGGGACACAAGCTGAGATGATGCTCTGAAAGACTCTCTGAGCATTTCCAAATTGAATTTACACAGTTGCCTCTCCCGCTATGGTTTACGAGTATGTACTACTAATAACAGTACATTTATTTACAGAATGGGTCAAAATACTTCCCTGTTTAAAGGCCACAGTCATCACGACTGCCTAGGACATTTCAAATTACTGATCCCACGACAAGGAACATATTCAACTAGAACAATTATTCATGAATTTGGATCGCATAAGGCTTTGCTCCTCACTCTTTACCATTCCCAAACCTCGGGTAAATGAAAAGGGCCTTAACAGAATTGCAAAGGTACATCCTTTAAACAACCTAAAGTGAGGTTTTTCAGAGAACCTCCAGAAGCAGACAGTCCACAGAATTAACTGCTAGCCCCTTTGAACAAGCACATAATGGTGTGAAGTAAGCAGCCTCTTCTCAGAAGCACTGGAGCAAGACTCTTCTACAGGTGACACTCTTCTTTGCACACTCTTGTTTATTCAGTGTTCCTCTTTACCGATGGAAGGATGTCTATGTCTGACGTGGTCTGTCATGTTCTCCTTGTTAGTAATAATGACTTGCCTAAGGCTAGACTTTAAGGAAAATGTGTTTGAACTATGAGAAATACAAAATGCAACACTTACTATTTGTCACAATACCACGAAACATTACACCTACAGTTCCACTAAGGATGACCATATCTCTTGTGTAGCTCCTCTGTGGAAATCAGACGATTTAAAGCCCACCCAGAAGCTAGGTAAATTATCCATACAGCTGTTAGTGAGGCCATTTCAAAGGTATGACTCCTTCACACTCTCAATGGGTTACATTTCCTTAAACGCACTCTAAAAGAACAAAACCCCTTCTAGAAAAAGACTCCTGAAGATAGTGATCCCATTCATAGCAGTTACACCACTGGAGGTGGTCATTAAAAACACTGGTCCCTCATGTTGGTTGACATCGTAATTAACATAGCCTGAACCCTGGGGGCACAACAAGCCAGTTTCAGTTCTTTCACCCAGAAATTATAGATAATATAAAGCCTTCACTTTCTTTGGATCAACCAGGGAAGGGTCTGCACCGATGCTAATACTGCGCGTTGCACCTGGATTAACACTACAAGTAAAACCATCTACAACTACCTGAGCTGTACAAAGGAGACTTAGGGGGTATTTGGGGCTTTTCTTGGCCAAGCCTGGAAAAGCTAGGATCATGATTCTGGAGTGCCCTCCAGTCCCTTCTTATAAACCTGATCAATTACTCTGCAACAACTTACTTCAATAAACACACTTTTGTAAGCCAACCAGTGTCAGCAACTCACTTTTGAAAGTCAGGCAATCAGGGACAGGCTCACGTCAATAAACATACCGCTGAGTGCCAACCAATCAACAGTGTCCCCCAAGTCACCACGCTTCCCCAAAAGCCTACGTAAGTAAGATGAGCACTCTGCTCTGCGTGGAGGTGGTCCCTGACCAGCACGGCTCTCCCTTACAGTAAGCATTCGGCTTAGCTTTGTCTTTTTATCTCAGTTAGTGAGTGGTGGTCTCATCAGCCTTTCACATTTTCACTGGATACATTTTTCTACCACTTGAATTTCCAATGATGTGAATATATTACCTTTTCAATAAATGAATAAATAAAATTTAAATTTAAAAAGTTTGTCTCAGAAACACTTCTTGCCTCTTGTTTCAAAGGTCAATGACATCAGCAAATGTTATAAAATGTCTTAAATTGTTCTTAACCAATTTCTCTATTAAGCGAAAGTATGTGTAGCAGACATAATATTATTCATAGACCCAATGATGATTTTGCACCATGGTGAAAATATAGGATTCAATGAATTTAGGTTAATGAAATGTGGCCTGAAACTCTTAAATTCTTAATTTTAAACCTGATACAAAAATATAGAATTTGAGAAATAAGGCTAATTTTTATTATTCCTCTGGTTTATTGCAAGCCTTGCTCAATTTCTATGCCTCTCATGTTAATAAATAATAATAATGATAGCTAATACATACAGTGCTTTATATGAACCAACCATTGTCCCAAGTGCTTGCAAAAATTAACCAAAGGAGGACCTTTTTAAAAAGGTCAAAATTCCAGTGCTCATACAGACAGATTCCCCTTATTCCAAGAGAGTCTTTATTCTGTTAGGAGAAAGAGTTCCCTATAGAAACGAGACATTTAGCAACTCAAATGCCAACACCAATTAAGAAACATCATTTTTTAAATTACCAATTGTTTTTCTGCATATCACATGCTCAAATTCCTTTGTTCCTGAATTACTTAAACGTTGGCAGTAACTAAATTTCAGTTAAAAACAGGAACTTGCATCAACTAGCAGAAACACGCTGTTGCACCCACAATTCATCCATATGCTGAAGTTCGAGGATTTGAGTGCTCAATTCAAAAGTCATGTGTCAGGAAGATGTTCGTGGGGTATAAAATTATGTACATTAAATCCACTGCAAAATTTTAAGATTGCTTTACCTCTGTTAATTCCAGAGCTTTATTGTAGCCCATGGCGTGCAGAGTTACCCAAAGGTCACGAGGATCTCCCTCCCGATCGTTGGCTTCCACCAGATTCAGATCCATAAAGCCCCGTCTTGTTAGTTCATTCTTCTTTGTATCAAAATTCTCTGTTAAAACAACCAAAAGTTTCTTTCTTACATAATTTTAAAATCCATATGTTTAATAAAATGTCCATTATATATTATTACTCATAGATGTTTACTTTACTTTGCGAGCAGCGCAAAGGCAGAATAAGAAGAGCTCAACACACCAGAGAGGAACTGCTCTAAGTCCCCACAACCCAGTGAGCACCAGCACAGAGCAGGATTTAGTTTCTCAACAAAACCCCAAGTTATAAATAATGCAGATATATGCCAAAGTTAGAGGAAATTGTAGTCTTTCTGGGTAAATTCTAACCTGCCTGCTTATCTAGAGTATACACTGATATATATTTCAGAAATTCAAATGCTTCATATATATTTGCTACTTAAACCCAGCAGAATATGGATGAATTTGATGTAATACCCCCAAAACTACTGGTGTTTCAAAAAGAAATGTGGATGGTGCCAGATTTAAGGAGACTGTAATAAGCCTAATTGCTCTAGTTTTACCTGAACTTTCCCTGGGTCCTTAACAAACTGTTAGATAATGGGGAACCCTTTGGAGTCCATGAATGTCCCAGACTAATCTAAGTATGTCTATTTTAACGTTATCTGTAAGCAAAAGTAAATTCACCTAGAAGTATCTAGACATGTATAATACCTGAATTCGTCTATAAAATAGATAATAAACAGCTACTCATTATGGATTATATTTTGTTAAATGCCCTACAACAAGAAAGACTTTATTTTCCAACTTCATCTGTAATATATACAAGGGAAATGGGTACTCTTATTTGAGATATCTCTTTTGTACGTATTTCTATGAGAAAAGCAGCAGAGACATAACTGTTTAAAACTGGTTGACTTTAATAGTTTAAAATATGCTTAGAATTTCGAAAGTGACTCAACTTTTGCAAGGAAAAAGAAGGAAATGTAGATTCAATTAGATCATAGAGAGAAATGGTAGCCACTAAAATGGAGGCTGGAGCTACTATGTAGTAAAGCAAGATGAAAATATTAATATTTGATATATAACACAAAGAAATTACTACTTTCAAGAAAAATGTATCTAGATACCATAATATAAAGATTATCAATAACTAACCTACTTTTAAAACTTAAAATTCACAATCCTCCATTAATTTTTTAAAAGTTTACTGGGCCTGGCCCAGTGGCATAGCGGTTAAGTTTGCGCACTCCGCTTTGGCAGCCCAGGGTTCACCAGTTAGGAACCCGAGCGTGGATCTACACACCACTTGTCAAGCCATGCTGTGGCAGGTGTCCCACATATAAAGTAGAGGAAGATGGGCACAGATACTAGCTCAGGTCCACTCTTCCTCAGCAAAAAGAGGAGGACTGGCAGCAGATGTTAGCTCAGGGCTAATGTGCCTCAAAAACAAAGTTTATTAGTACTTGACTTCAAGACTTACTTGAAAGCTACAGTAATCAAGACAGTGTGGTACTGGCAAAATGTTAGACACCTCAGTGGAATAACATAGAGAGCTCAGAAACAGACTCATACAAATATATTCAACTGATATTTGACAAAAGAACAGTGAACCCAATGGAGAAAGGATAGTCTTCTCAACAAAAGGTGCTGGAACAACTGGACATCCACACGCAAAAAAATAAATCTAGACAAGGACCTAAACCTTACATCCTTCACAAAAATTAACTAAAATAGACCCAAAGCACAAATCTCTAAAACTTCTAGAAGAAAACAGAAGAATATCTGGGTGACCTTCTGTTTGGCTATGAGTTTTTAGATACCTGACACCAAAAGCATCATCTATGAAAGGAAAAATTAAGTGAGACCTCATTAAAATTAACTTCTGCTCTGTGAAAGAGAATGAAAAGACAAGCCACAGAGTGGGAGACAAGCCACAGAGTGGGAGAAAATACTTGCAAAACACATATCTGATAAGGACTTGTATTCAGCATACACAAAGAACTCTTAAAACTCAACAGTAAGAAAAAAAAATCTGAATCAAAAAATGGGCGAGAGATCTGAACAGAAACCTCACCAAAGAAGATATACAGATGGTAAATAAGCATATGAAAAGATGCTTACCATCATATGTCATTAAGGAATTGCAAAATAAAATAACAAATCACCTCTACACACCTATTAGAATGGCTAAAATCCAAAAAACTGACAACACCAAATGCTGACGAGGATACAGAGCAACAGGAATTCTCATTCTTTGCTGGTGAGAATGCAAAATGGTGCGGCCACTTTGGAAGACAATTTGGCAGTTCTTTTAAAGTTAAACACAGTTTTACTGTACCATCCAGCAAGCTGAATTGAATGGAGTTGAAAACAACATACACACAAACATCTGCACAAGTGTTTACAGCAGCTACGTTCATAACTGCCAAAAATTGGAAGCAATCAAGTCATCCTTTAACAGGTGAAACCAGAATGAAGTAATTTATATTTTCTTTTAACTTGAGTAGTACACCAATTTAAAAAAAATAAATGTTTAAGTTCTTATGGTCTACAAACAACGTCACTACTTTTAAAGTGTCCTAACTGCTACAATAATATTCCACAGAGAAGTTTGACATTTTATGTCTTAAAGATAAAAGGATGCTATATATATTTTTATATATCCATTAAGAAAAAGAAAAGTACTTACCTCTGCACACAGCCCAAGCATCTTCATCACATTTCTCACCACTGGTTCTCAATTCAAAAAAATTATATTCTTCAAGGCTAAGAAGACCATTTCCATCTAAATCAATTACCTCAAATATATCTGATAAAGTTGACCTAAAATTATAAAAACAGCAAATTATTTGTTGTTTCTAACACAACTAGACTGAAGGAGGTTTCTGTGAGGATAACTTTCAAAAGGCAGAAATATCAAGGCATTAAACAACTTTTGTGAACTATAAAGTTAGTGCATCCACATATATTTTTGACTCTGTCCAGTACTACACGAGATAAACAGGTCTCTAAAGCAGCCGCAGTGTCTCGAGACTGGTGGGAACTTAGTGAGTAGCAGTTCCCTCCTCCTCTTCTCCCTTCTCTGATCTGCCTTCCTTTTCCTCTGACCAGGTCCTGCTGTGTGTATCTAGGGCATGGGAGAACTGCCTAAGTGTCTGGATTTATATCTGATGGGTAACTAAGTCTATAGTGCAACCAGCAGGATCTATTTCTAAGGCAGTGCCTAGTGGGGAGAAATCGGTAGACGTTTGGCTAAAGTTGACTTGTCAGATGTGTGGAACTCGGAAATGAACAGCAATCCCAGAGCTGTGAACGGAAGGTCACCTTCAGACGCCTAGTGAATGAGCTGAGTTACTGAACTACAGTCTGGGCGTGGGGCAGCGGCTGGCCGAAGGAAAGGATGGAGAACAGGTTAGTGATATAAATCCAGTCTAGATGCTACAGTTCTAACCTTAATAAACAAACCTTACCTAAACTCCTGCGTAAGAAGCAGTCCCCCTGTCTCATCTCTGTACACAAGCTGGGCTTCTTCTGCTACTGCTTGTCCTTCTTTCCTCAGCCTACAGCCAGTTGTGGAAGGAATCAACCAGTACATTCCAGGTGCCAGTTCACCAGTCCACCCAAACACCTTTGCTCAAAAGAATTTAAAAAAAACAACCATCACTATGAGTCTTAATGACTTTTAATCTTTCTTCTGAAAGGGAAGCACTACAAGTAATTTTTTTTATCAATATTCACCAATCCTATTATGATTCTATCAATCTTTTACAGGCTTCAAAATCTTTTTGTTAATGGAAACCCTAGTACAAAACCATGAAATGTAGTTCTTTATATATTTTAAAAACAAATACCTAAAACTATAACAGGTAAGAAGTTATATAACTTCGAATTCTTCCCCATTAATCTTCAAAAATGCTTATAATGCAAGTATCTGCAACAGGAAGCAAACAGAAAAATATTAGAATAATTTTTCCAGGTTGCAGTTCCCTAATTTGACTCAAATATAAATATATGATTTTTAAATCATATTTCAATGATATACAATAAAAATTAAATATATTTTAAAAGAGTTCACTACTTGTATGAATTAGCCATATTTGTAAGAATCCAATTACGTGGGCAAAAGAACTGGAATTTCACTATTCTTTATGGAATATGGACTACAAAACAAGATGGCAGAATCCTAGATATACCTACCTCACATAAAATTCTTCTCCTTCACAGGATATTTATAATGAGTGCCAGGACATTTGTATAGGAAAATATTTTATTCTCCTGTTCTATAAAAGAAAGCAAGATGGTCTCTTTCCACAGACCTTCTAGGTGCTTGCTGGAGCCCAATGGCCTCCTGTAAAACCTAGCGGTTGTCTCCGCCAAAGGTACTAAATCTAAGCATTTTCTAGTCGTGTGTAACAGCTAAGCAAACGCTACTTGCCCTTCAGCACAGAATGGCCCGAGAGAATTCTGTCTGGCACTGTGTTAAGAAACTCCTTTCAAAACCCGAGTATATTTTAGGTTATCCTGGGGATTCATACAAAATAAAGTTGCTCATCTGAATTTTGGGTTCAGCTCTTTTTCTGCCCTCACAAGTCAGAGGAACCATAATTGTCCTAAAGTGACCACGTCCTATTTTGATACAAGAAGCAATCCAATAAAACTGAGGGTCACTTTAAAGACTAAAGATTGACCAAATGCATCCTTTGGAAACCATAATCTTTTAGACTGGCCGAGGCAGACTGACACGCAGGAGGGAGAAGCTGTCCTTGCTGCTCCCTGATACACGGGAGCCCGTGAACCTCCCTCACCCCCACACAGAGCCCGCAATCGCCACTGCGGACGGCAGACGGAACGTACGGGCATAAAACTCTCCTCAAAGAAAACAACTGTGAAACTTCAACTAAAACTAAAAAATCCTTTGTAAAGATGACATACTACAGATAAACAGAAGCCTATAATAGTAAAGAGGTAAATAGAAACTCATTCAAACTTTATTACAGGCTTGCTATGTACCAACAATTTTACACACGCAATCTCATAAGAAAGTAATTTTATCCAAAACAAAATGGGAAAAGCTACTGTTTTAGACAGTGTTTTATCTTGAACTTAACTCTGTAGTCAGTTCTGAAGAAGAGTTTCGTCAAAACATTAACTTCTGTCATTTTATGTTTCTGGCCTATAACTATTCTTGTCTGTTAGGAAGCCTACAATAAAGACTTTTATATAACATTCCATCAGGGAAATGTTTGTCTGTCTTTGGACCTATATAAAGATTAAATATGATATTGCAGTAAGCCCTTGAATAGTATTATTCCTGTTGTTGTGTAGCAGATGTATTTTGTAGTCCTCATAAAATAAACGGCCACATTTATGTATCTGCCTCACATATTTGGCCTCTGAGTAAATACATAATTAGAAAAGATCAGAACAACCCCATGGGCAACACATAAAATCATTTAAAAGCATTTCTTCAGATCAATCTATTTTTGAACCCCATAATACGAGTCAAGCCTGAGGGTAGTAATCATGAAGTTTCTCTTCTTTGCAGTAGTAGTATAAGAAACGCAAACATCTAAAGCAACTTTTCCAAAGTCATGAATTGCTTGTATTTAGGGAAAGAAAAATCCACTGGCATCAATCATTTTTATTGAGTATAACAAAAAAAGTTCACATGTGAGACATCAGAGCATTTAGAGAAAAGTGAAGTATAATGTCACACAATTTATAAGTTGTGAAACTAAGACTGCCAATCAATCTTCAATTCTTAAATCTCAGCAAACAAGAATAATTAGTAAAACACATGTAATATGCATAGTGTTAAGTACTGTATATACCTTAATTGGAAGGGAAGATACACAAGTTAAAAAAATAATAAATTTAGAAAAACTATTATTTTCCCCAAATGAGTTCATACTATATTTTTAAATTAAACATTAGAAAATAAATATGTATACTTCTCTATTTTGTAGTTCAGTAAAACACATGAGCTGTAGATTTGCTTGACTTTCATTTTCCTTAAGAATATACAAGGCAGTATCAACTGATAGCCAAGGGGATGGTTTTCCTATAAACAAAAAAACCCAAACATCTCAAAATAGGCAATTACCACTTACTCTTTCCTATCTAAAAAAGACGTTAGCGGTTACTTTCCCCTTTGGATTTTTTTTTTAGAAACACACATCCCATTTTTGTACGTAAACACCATAGTATTTGCCTTAAGGCACATACCTATTACAGTAACCTTGTTAGAAACATTCTCTGTATATATACTTTCTAAAAATCTTAACTTTTCTTAAACTCATCAGAGAGTTTAAGTTTCAGGGCAACCAAGAAACCTGAAATTCAAGGAAAAACAAACCATTTTAAGGAGAGATGGGATGTCAGCACTGACTTACCTGTGGAGGAGCAGAGGAGGAAGAGATGCCAGACCCGTCTATGTGCTGACAACTCCAAAATTTCTACCTCCAGCTAGGGCCTTTCCTCTGAACATAGACTCATATCATCAACTGCCTATTTGACAGTTCCACTTGGATTTCTATATCTAAAACTGACCTTCCACAGCCCTTAAAAAAACTTTCCATCTATATCCTCTTCCCTATCTCAGTTAATAGTAATTCATTTCTTCCAGTTGCTTAGGCCAGAAATCTTGGAATCATCTTTAACTTTTTTCCTCTTTCACATATCATAACCAATCCTAAGTAAATCCTGTGGTTCAACCACAAAATATACCCAGAATCTCTATTTCTTATCCCCTCTACCTCCCGGTTTGAAGCATCCTCAGTCCTCTCCCAGAATTCTGCAACAGCATCCTAGCTGGACTCCTTGATTTCTCCTGAGGACCCTTCAGTCCATTTTCAATACAGCAACCTGGCTGCTCTTGTCAAAATATAAGTCAGATTATGTCCTGTCTCTACTCAAAATCTTCTCATGGAGTAGAGCTGGAAGAGTGTTTCTCCCAACCTAACAATAACAAAAATTGCAGGAATCACAAAATCATAACTTTTCTTGAACCCATCAGAGCTGAGGTCACAGGCCAACCAAGTAGCCTGAAATCCAGGGAAAGACAAACCCTCCCTTCCAAGGAGAGATTTGATGCAAGCACTGGCTTATCTGTGGTAGAGCACAGGAGGACGAGATGTCAGGTACCAAACAAGTGGAAGAAGAAGAGAAAGGGCAGAAGAAATATTTGAAGAAATAAAGGTGGAAATTTTTCTAAAAATAATGAAAGACAACAAGCCATAAATCCAAGAAGCTCAGAGTCCCAAGTAGGACAGGTACAAAAAACCCCCCAAAATACAACCAACAACAGCATAAACCAGAAAAAACACCTAAATACATATTCAACCTGTTGAAAATCAAAGATAAAGAAAAAAATTTTGATGGCAGCCATGGGAAAAACCTCCTAAGGTCTCATTTCTGTGAGTGAAAGCCCAAGTCCTCATTATGGCAAAAATAAAACCACCTGATTTTGTCCTTGCCCGCCCCCGCATCTCCATCTACTATCTCTTCTCACGGACTTCATTACAGCCACGCTAGCCACTTTGCTGCTCCTCGAACACCAGACACACCCACCTCAGGGCCCTGAACGGAGCGTCCCCTCGACGTGGAGTGCTCTGCCCCTCCTCCACTCTTCACCTACCCCTTCCACCACTCCACACCCACAAAGCTCACTCCCTGCTTTCTAGGAAGACAGCAAATGTGGCTATCCCTCTCTGTGTCCACAGCTCACTCCCTGCTTTCCAGGAAGACAGCAAATGTGGCTATCCCTCTCTGTGTCCACAGCTCACTCCCTGCTTTCCAGGAAGACAGCAAATGTGGCTATCCCTCTCTGTGTCCACAGCTCACTCCCTGCTTTCTAGGAAGACAGCAAATGTGGCTATCCCTCTCTGTACCCACAGCTCACTCCCTGCTTTCCAGGAAGACAGCAAATGTGGCTATCCCTCTCTGTGTCCACAGCTCACTCCCTGCTTTCCAGGAAGACAGCAAATGTGGCTATCCCTCTCTGTGTCCACAGCTCACTCCCTGCTTTCCAGGAAGACAGCAAATGTGGCTATCCCTCTCTGTACCCACAGCTCACTCCCTGCTTTCCAGGAAGACAGCAAATGTGGCTATCCCTCTCTGTGTCCACAGCGCTTTGCAATGCAACTTCACAGTTCTTCCACCAAGAGATCAAGTCTATTTCTCCACCTTATAAATTTGGCCTTGCCATGTGACTTGCTGTGAACAGGAGAACGTAAGAGAAGTAACGTGGCCATTCTGAGCTCCGGAGTTCCTATGGTGTTCTGCATTCTCTCTCAGGTCCCCGTTGACCATGAAAGTGAGTCCAGGCTAACTTACTAGAGGATAGAGATTACATGAGGCAAAGTCAGGCTGTCTCGGCTGAGACCCTATACAGAGGAGAGCGCCCCACCAAGAGCAGGAAAGCCAGCCACAGCGAACCCGCAGCTGACCACAGATGCACGCATGAGCGACCCCTACAGAAAAGCCAAGCCTGGCTCAGATCAAAAGAACTGTCCAGCAGATCTACTCATGAGTAAACAAATGTTTGTTTTAAGCCATTGAGTTTTGGGGTAGTTTGGTATGTAGCAGTTGATAATTAATACATATTTTTCAAAGTCTTTGCTCAAATGTCAACTTCCTAATGAAGCACACATTAACACTCCATTTCAAGGGCAACTCATATTCCCTCAGCATTCACAACGCCCTTTCCTTCTGTTTTTCCCACAGCACTTATCACCTTCTAACATAAAACGTCATTTACTGTTTATTATGTTTATTATTTATTGTCTATTTGTCGTTTGGTTTGTTAAGTTCATAAGGGCAGGCATTTTTGCCTTTTTTGTCCTCTGATGTATCTTAAGCACCTGAATGATACTTGATATAGAAGAACCTCAATAAATATTTGATAAATCAATGAATAAAGGAATCATCTTTGTAAGAATATGGAGAATTAACAACTACATTGAATTTCCAGGCCTATTTTGAAAACTTAATCTGAAAAATTGTCATTTAAAAGAGTTAACTACCAAATGTGTTAAGTATCCTACAAGATAATACAGGGATAACTTTCAGAATTTCACTTTAAGGAGGGAAAAAGAATGAGAGTGGGGAAGAATCCTCTAGTAAGAAAATGTTTATATGTAAACACAATAAAAGAAAAAGATGATATTTAGAACAATCACCATTAAAAGATATCTAGGGAAAGCACACTTATAGACACTCTAATTAAAAATTGCATAATAACCATTTTAGACACTAGGAAATTATTAACTTTTATCTAGGATATGTGTACAAAAAAAGAATATTACCATGAATGCAAAGATTATTAGCAAGGATAGAACTTTGAAGGTATTCAAAACTACTTGCAGTTCATATTGTCCCAAATTATGCTCCTATAGAACTTCTCTTAAACACATTAATTTAAAAAATTGATAAATGGAAAAAGCTAACCATAAATTAGCAAGTAAGAAATTAATTCTAAGTCATGAGGAAATCATGTAACATTTTGTTCTTGTTTTTAAATGAATTAAAATAAAACATGTTTTAGACACATACAAAAAGCAATTTACTTGCCTTGCATAAGGCAATAACACAGTCAATGTATAAACTAACTCTTTCTTTCTTTAAATATAACCATATGTTTCTTAGGCAGATTATTTTCTTCACTAACTAGGACTACCAAATACTTACATAAGTATTTTCAAAGAGGGTATAAAGTGATATTTTTAAAAATATACAGAAAATTTGAACTTGCCTTCAGCTTGACTCAGGTTTAAGGGCTTAATTGTTAGATAAACCATGCATCTCTGAGCTATCTGCATCCTGTATTGATGACTCACGATTTCACCATCTTCTTCCAAGAAAAAGCAACCTTTTGATTGTACACATTGCCACTCCTGAAATGAAGAAAACAATTTTCTTCAAACAGTATTTATTAAATCTTCCCAGCATGTATAGCAATGAGAAGAAACTTGAGGAGTACATAAAAGAAATGTCAAGTAGAGCCACTGCCCTCCAGGAATTTGCAACGTCATCAAGAGGTAAAAACAGGCATGACACGATTCGATTATAATTGACAGCAGGCTATGGTTAGGACAAAAGAAGAATTACATATGCAAAATAATATTATAATTCCAGTTCCTAAAATAGTGCCTGGCACATGGCAGGTGCTCAGTAAGTGCTTATTGTCTGACTGACGTGGGGCATCGATATAAACTGAGAAGGCAATCCATGAACTGTAGCTTGAAGGATCAGCAGCATTTAGATAATGAAAAGTGAGGAAAAGAAGAGAAGAAATAAGAAAAATAAAGTTCCTGACAGAGGGAGAAGCATTGAAACAATAAACGAGCTGCTGCAATAATCAGGGTGCGATTAGCTCTTGGAGCACAGCGAGAATGAGGAGGTAAGGACCTCTAAAACTGACGTGTTGAAAGGAAAAGTGATAGGACTTCATATTTAAAAGATTAAGTGACAACCAATTAAGTGTCTCAAGTCTAGGTAACTAAGTGAACACTGAACAAGTTTCACAGCTATAGCAAAATGCTGATAAACATCAGTTTTGAAGAAGACCTTTCTGTAAGATTGTTTCACCATCTCTTAGTCTAGCCAAATGCCTTCTCCTAGTCCAAACTCCTATGTCTGTATGGGATCTCATAACTAAAATTAAGTAAAACTTGAAGATGGCATCTTATGCAGAAAGGAAAGGATTTTTTATTGAAGGTATGAGAAATTGTGCCATTACCATAGATGTGTGCAAAAACCTTTTCACTCTACCATTAGTTGGCTTGCCTACCTATAACGTAAGACATATTTCTGTTCTAATGACTTCTAAAAATAGAATATTAATGAGGTTTTGAAGTGACTTTAACGGATGATTTTTAAAAATTATCTGTAAGTATATTTAGATAAGGTCAAGGCTTTAATAATATTAAGATAATCACTGAAAAGGTGTGCATTAGCTGTATAACAACAATAATATAGTAATATAAAAATATTATTAATCTATTATAGAAGGATATACTACAGCACTGAAAAGGCAAGGACAAACATAATTCACACTGAGATTGATTTCTCGCTCATTTTACAGGCTAAATTATCCTAACATGTACTTACACATCCTTTTTCTATTATATAAATCATAATTATCTTCATATTTTATATTATTTTCACCACATTAAAATACATTTAAAATTAGAAATTTAAAAATAGGAAAAAAATCCCCATAGTTCCACACCCTAGTTTGGTTTTTATGTAATCCTTCCTAATACTGGCCTTATATAAAAATCTATTTCTTACATTCTAATTAACACTATTTTATGTCATAAATGTTATATTTATTAAATGTTATATCCATTTAATGTTACATCCAAAACATTTTGCTACTGAAAAAGAAGAACAAAGTCAGGGGACCACACTTCCTGATTTCAACACTGACTACAAAGCTGTAGTGATGAGAACAGTGCAGTACTGGCATAAAGGCAGAGACCAAAGGAACACATTAGATAGCCCAGCAATAAACTCTTACACATACGGTTAAATAATTTTCAACAAGGGTAACAAAACCATTCAATGGGGGAAAGGATAGTCTTTTCAATAAATAGAGCCAAGAAAAATGGATATCCATATGCAAAATAATTAATTTGGATGCTTACCTTACACCATACATAAAAATTAACACAAAGTGGATGGAAGACCTAAACCTAAGTTCTAAAACTATAAAACTCTGAGAAGAAAACATAGGGGAAAAGCTTCATGGCATTGGCTATGGCAATGATTTCTTATATATGACATCAAAAGTACAGGCAACAAAAGAATATACAGAAAAAATGGACTACATCAAAATTAAAAACCTTTGTGTATCAAAAGTCACTATTAACAATGAAAAGGCAACCCACAGAATGGGAGAAAATATTTGCAAATCACATATCTGAAAATAGATTAATATCCAGAATGTTAAAAATTTCTAGAACTCAACAACAAAAAACCAAAAAAACCCAATTAAAAAAATGATCATAGGACTTGAATAGACATTTCTCCAAAGAAGACACACAGATAACCAACAGGCACAGGAAAAGACGCTCAGCATGACATCATTAGGGAAATGCAAATTAGAACCATGAGATACCTCTTCATATCCACTAGGATGGCTATAATCAGAAAAACAGAAAATAGTAAGTGCTGACAAGGATATGGAGAAATTAGAACCCTTGTGCATTGCTGGTAGGAATGTAAAACGGTAAAGCGACTGTGGAAAACAGTTTGGAAGTTCCCCAAAAAATTAAGCATAGAATTACTGTATGACCTAGTAATTCCACTTCTGAGTATACACCCAAAACGACTGAAAGCCGAGACTCAAATAAGTATTTGTACACCCATCTTCATCGGTGGAAAGAATCCACACATCCACTGACGGATGAAGGGATAAACAAAATGTGGTATATATACAGAATGGGATATTACTCAGCCTTATAGAGGAAGGAAATTCTGACACATGCTGTGTATGGATGAACCTTAAGGACATTAGGCTAAGTGAAATAAGCCAGATACCGAAGGACAACTATTGTATGATTCCACTATACACAGTCCCTAGAGTAGTTAAATCCAGAGACAGACAGTAGAAGGATGGCTGCCAGGAGCTGAGGGGAGGGAAGCATGGGGAGCCGTTGTTTAATGGGTACAGTTTCAGCTGGGGATGATGAAAAAGTTCTGGAGATGGATGGTGGTGATAGCCGCACAGCAACACAAAACTGTACACTTAAAAATAGTTAAAATGGTAAATTTTGTGTTATATAAGTTTTACCACAATAAGAAAAAGATTTTGCTACGCAATACTCAAATTTTCAATTTAACTGGTTCTATAATTATTCACTGAGTTGGTATACGATTACTTACTTAAATATTTCTAAAATGTTGGACATTTAGGTCATTTCCAATTTCTCATCAGTATAGATGATGCCAAAACGAATACTATTTTGTCTAAATGTTTTTTTTTCTGATGCATAATATCCTTCAGAAGAACTTCTAGGCAAAAAGTATACATATTTTTAAGGCTAACGACATGTGTTCACACATTGCTTTGTAAAACAGTGATGCTAATTTTACAGCACTCCCATTGGTGTATAACAATTTTACCATTACACAACTTAATAGTGTTATAATTAAAAACCTGGGTGGTGGTGGGGGGTAATTTCTGGAGCAAGATGTGGGTACAGAAAATATTCAGTATACTATTCTATATATTTTTCTATATGGTATTGTAATGGATTTTCTGTTAATTTAAATTTCTCTGATTACTAGCAAGGTTGAACATTCCCCCACGTGTTTACTACTTCTGTCTCCTTTGTGTGACCTGCCTATTCATCCCCTACTCTCCTAGCTCTGTTGCAGACTTGGTATTTTTCTTACATATTTTAGTAAACTCTTTTGACTATTTTAGATATTAACCACCCTTTGTAAGGTTTGATGCATTTCCTTTTATTTCAGTTTTGGTTATTTTTCAACTTATGTAAGTTTTCCATTTTTATATTCATCTTTTCTTTGGCGCTTTCTCCTTAAACTGAATTTTAAGAAATTACCATTATTGTGAACTATTACTCAAACTTACAGTCAGTCATTAAGCACAAGCGCTGTCACCCCTTTGGGGTATAAAAGATACGGGTACTTCTAATTCTGAGGAATTAAAATGTGACCTTAAATTACTGGAATTCATCTTGATAAACATATTGCCCATGACAGAAACAAGTCACCATATATATTTTAACAAAATCCCTATGAGGCAATATGGGGTAGATATAAATTAGTCATTTTAAAAAACAGAGAAATTGAGGTACCCAGAGGCTCTACGGGTGCAGAGTTCTACAAGGAGTTTGTAGAAATATTAGGTCTAGAGTCTAAGACCTTCGGATGAATGCTTTTACCATTAGATCATGTTTCCAAAAGAAAATATACTCCGGGTACTAAACTCAAGATTCTTATAACAATGAGCTTTAAACTTGGGCTTGAGCCAGAAGTTCAAGTTCCGCTATTAACGATGAGCAAGAGTATGGACAGACTGTCAATTAGCCTCCCTGTAAATCTCCTGGATGGGAATCTATTATGGACTAACAACACAGGCTGACATCCCCCCAAAGCCAACTGGCCTTATTTAATATAATCAACTCGACCTTGGAAGACAACTGCTACAGAGGAGAAAGGAAAGATAGATGGTGTATAGATCAGTTACCCTTTCAGACAGTTTGAACTAAGATTCTGACACCTAGTATAAAACATCTAGAATACGTTCCTCTCAATCAATTTTGACTATAGCATTATCGTACAGAATTTCGCCTAATATATTTCATGAATATATTTTTTACATTTACCCATCTGGAATGGTAAGGGATACTAGTTTAGAATTACAGACTATTAGGTAGTAGGTAGAAATCTAAAAAGCGGGGCCAGCCCTGTGGCTGAGTGGTTAGGTTCGCACGCTCCGCTTCGGCTGCCCAGGGTTTCACCAGTTCAAACCCTGGATGCGGACATGGCACCGCACATCGAGCCATACCGAGGCAGCGTCCCACATGCCACAACTAGAAGGACCCACAACCAAAAATACACAACTAGGTACTGGGGGGCTTTGGGGAGAAAAAGGAAAAAATAGAATCTCAAAAAAAAAAAATCTAAAAAGTAATCCAGCCCAGACTTCTCTTTTGATTGATGAAAGTCTGAGAAGTGAAGTGATATGCTTAAGTCACAATTCTCGTTGATTGCAGAGCCACAGCTGAAACCTAGGTCTCCTTACTTTCTCTCCAAACTACCAGCTATATTCAAAATTCTGCTCTTTTTCACACTTAAATATCTGCCATGATTTTTTTTTTTTTTTTGGTGAGGGAGATTGGCTCTGAGCTAACATCCATGCCAATCTTCCTCTATTTTGTATGTGAGATGCTGCCTCAGCATGGCTTGATGAACAGTGTGTAGGTCTGTGCCCAGGATCTGAACCTGTGAACCCCAGTCCACTGAAGCAAGTGTGCAAACTTAACCACTCACTACACAACCAGGCCGGCCCCTGCCATGAATTTTTTAAAAGTTAGTATTTAAACAAACTTCAGGTTTAAGAAGTTATTATAACAAAAATACGATAAAGCATTATCATTTGGAATTATCCATATATTGAAGTATTAAGATAAGCATAATTTTCTGGTTTTCATACTAAAAAAACTTCAGATTTTAGCAGCTGGAAATTCCTTAAATTTGTGTTATAATCATGGGTGTAGCAGCCCCCGTCCCTCAGTTAAAAAAATGTTTAAATGAAATTAAAAAATAATGCACTTTGCCTGGTACACTGTTAGTGAACATAATCTGTGGCATTTGGGAAACTCGAAGATGGAAAAATTTTTCAAGGTGCTTACAGTATTTCTGGGGGCAGTGCCAGGGCTGGCAGGAGACACCTTTACAAAATTTAGCTGGGGAGAGAGTTAATAGAGGTCTTTCTATTCTAATTCTTTCTAATTCTAGAAAAGTTGCAGAGAGAAAGGAGTTTATAAGTTTGTCTAGAAAGGCAACTAACCTGTACAGCACATTGCACATTACCAAGGCTGGACAACAGCAGGACGGGAGCTCTTACAAAACTTGCACAGCACAATGCACGTTACCAAGGCTGGACAACAGCAGGACGGGAGCTCTTACATAAGCTGCACAGCTCAATGCACGTTACCAAGGCTGGACAACAGCAGGACGGGAGCTCTTACATAACCTGCACAGCACAATGCACGTTACCAAGGCTGGACAACAGCAGGACGGGAGCTCTTACAAAACTTGCACAGCGCAATGCACGTTACCAAGGCTGGACAACAGCAGGACGGGAGCTCTTACATAACCTGCACAGCACAATGCACGTTACCAAGGCTGGACAACAGCAGGACGGGAGCTCTTACAAAACCTGCACAGCACAATGCACGGTTACGAAGGCTGGACAACAGCAGGACGGGAGCTCTTACAAAACAGAAGTAAAATTAATGCCGCATTACTTATATCAACCAAACTTCAGCGTAATTGTCAGACTATTCTGAAAACTAACATTCCTAGGAGAATTTGTAGCTCTCCTGTTTAAAAGGAAGCATTCAAATTTTTAAGGTCTGCTATTGTGTGAAACACACAACGCTTATTCAACCTAAATTTCCTTTAAAACAAACAGGCTTTCAATTACACAAAGCTTCTTCTCTAGGACCTAGACTAAAAAGTTATGAATTAAAAGAAAAAAGTACTGACAAATTGGCTGGCTCATTCAAATAAATCAGTTTGAAAGGATTATAGATTAAGTTGACAATTTGAGTATTATGAGAAAAATGGAAGAAGGCTGAGCTTTAAGAAAATTTTTAGAATGAGAGAGTAAGAAATTCCATGTATGATTAATCTTTTGACAATATAAAGCAGAAATAAAATAGTAGCTTGTAATTCTTATATATGGCATAAGGTGGTGCTATATTCTACCAATTCAGGTAAATTCACATAAAAGGAAAAAGAACTGTTAATTCATTTATTTGTCACATACAAATTTTACTTGTTTTCATTATATTTATTTTATTTTCATTAAAAATAGTCAGGTTGAAAATTCTACCTATCAAAAAACTTAAACAGGGGCCAACCCGGTGACGTAATGGTTAGGTTTGTGTGCTCCACTTCGGCGGCCCAGGGTTCACAGGTTCGGATCCTGGGTGTGGACCTACACACCGCTCGTCAAGCCATGCTGTGGCCGCGTCCCACACACAAAATAGAGGAAGACTAGCACAGACGTTAGGTCAGCGGCAATCTTCCTCAAGTGAAAAGAGGAAGATTGGTAACAGATGTTAGCTTAGGGACAATCTTCCTCAAACAAAAAAAAACACCACAAACTTAAACATATCAGTAGAGTTACATTTTTCTTGGAACACTGTAGGGAACATGATTTAACACACAATTCTGTATTATTATTAAAGTTAAGGCGAGGTAGAATTATTAAGCAGTAGATCTGCCAAAGACTTAGTCAGAGGAGGAATCTATACATCACCATCATCACTGTTGTGTTTTCTAAAGCTATCTCACGTCACATACTTACTAGAGAGCTATTTGCTTTTCATTAAGACAAGCAGGTAAGCAGATAGTTACTGAACTTTTTGTTATTAAAGAATTATAAACTGTAAGTACTTAAAAACAAAAGGTTAAATATATAATTTATAAATGAAAAATTGATTTGGATTGCCACCTAATTGACAAGTTGAAATGATCAACATTTTGAAAATATAGAAATTTTTGTAACAAAATTATTATTTGGAACCTTCACAAAAATTAAGTTAGACAACCATTTCAAGTTTAAAATGTTTATATTTGTATTGTCATAAATATAGACATATATATAACATATATGTTGCACACCATATTCGTATACATGTTGAATAACATATATGTTACACAACACATATATATGTAAAACCATATGTAGGCATATTTTAATTAGAAGTCTGGATAGAGGAAATAGTGCGTCTCTGGAGTTTGCGACTCATGTTTTGGGGCTTTCTCTAATTCTAGTCATGATTGAGGAGAAGCCATTGAAGTAATTCCCCTCTCAAGAAAAACTCCTAATGCTCCTTGCACATTACAAAACCTAAGCAAACGGAGAGAATTCAGGATTAAAAAGAGAATAGTGATTTAGCACCTACATATGGTCTATGGAAAGAAATACATGTACAGTCCCTGTAAGGGTCTTATTTTCTTCCAGTAATTCAGGCCCTTTACCAACCGTGTGGATTCATGGTTTAAAATCTGGCTTATCAGACCCCATCACAACAATTTTCTAATTTCTGAAAGAGCCTTCTTCTCTGTTCCAATCCCATACATGTTCATTCCACATGAAATCGAGATACCAAAACTCGTTTAAAATAGATTTAAAGTACTTGAAGAAAACTAACTTAACAAACCTCTTAGTAACTTATTCTGTCAATTTCGATGAAAACAAATTAGATAATAACTATATTCACAACCAAGTACTTCTCAGAGTTGTTATGAAATTCAATATAAAAAATCTATGAAATTTATTAAAAAATACAAAAGACTTCCATTGGCAGAAAATAATATTGTTGGAACACTAAATATTGTGTGTGAACATGGTGGACATGCACACCAAATTGCTTAGGGTGCATAGATTCCTAAACAGTCTGAACAAAATTCCTTGGAGATAATGTTTTAAAATTTTAATATAGAACAAATGTCACTGTCTAGCAATTTAAAGATATAAGGGACTTCAGAGTTCAATAACAAATACAGAGTTGTTATTTGAAACAAAAATGTAGCTCTTGAGAACAATCAGTTCCGTTTTCCAACAGCGGTTACAGTGTGCGGTCATAACCATCTCTCCCCCTTCCACAGAGGTCTCCAGGCACACATTTTTAATGTACCCTAGTAGTTTCCAGTTAATGTTTTATATTTCTCTAGCTATTATTTTCTGTTGAAAGAAAACTAGTAAAGGTTGAGTCTAGAAAGGGAAAACAAAGGAAGAAGATCAATATTAACACTCTAAAAATATTGACTTAGCAAAGAGTCTTTGTTATCTGTCTCTCATAGGAACGGATATTGAATGAATGCTTTATTTATAAGAAACATCTATGGAAAGTGTTTGTTAAACAAAACAAAAAAATTGCTTGGCAAAGCACCTAATTAGATAATCTATTCATCAAGTCTGGAAATTGAAGAGTCATCATTTTCAAACTGAAGACTTTTTAATAATATTCTTATTTGTCATTTGTACTTCAAAAGTATTAGAACTGGCTTATAGGGTAGAAGTGCTGCAACACACAGAAAAACCTCAATTATTTCACAAACTTTACTGGTTCTCTCTAAATGCTACGTAGTTGTTAAGTTTAACGCCAAATTTTTTCAGAAAAAGTTGTATCTATTAATTTAAAATACTATACCTTTACTGAGTTTGGCTCAGTTAACTTTGAGTTTCGGTTACTATTAGCACCCATTGTAACTGTGAAGGAGACAGATGTTTTGAACTTTCTAGTTGTTGCCAGTAAGGAACTCCTGGTGTCACCTGTAACAAGTAATAGTTATTTGGTCTCACATTAGGAAAAGTTGTCAAGGAGATTTGTTTCTAAACACAGTGTAGTAGAAAAAGTCTGTGTATTTATTTAGTTCTCTTTGTTCTTCCTATTGAAATAAAGTCAGAAGTTTTATCTTTATTGGGCTTTAACGGTCCCTAATTTATGGGCTACTAATAGGATTCTTTATTTCAATATGTCACCTCTTAACCTGAAATTTTAGTTTTAATAAAATAAAATGAGCATAGCCAAGTCAAGCTCCATAATAAAATTTTACTTCAATAGATTTTTACAGCTAAGAGAGTCTAAAAAGGGTAGCTGACAAAAGTAGGCTTCTCATTTGTTTTATCACTGACAAAGCAGGATGAAAGGAAAAACTGATCTGAATACGTCCCTCCATTCTTGATCAAGAAACCCTGAGTGTCAAAAGTAAATACCTTTATTTGTGAACGTGTCCTCGTCACTTCTTCTCATGATTCTAGGCGATGGTTTGGGTACTGGTGAGGGTTCCCTTTCAGGGGACGCTTCGATGTGGCTTCCAAAATGTTGACGCTTCAGTTTACTGTCAACTTCCAGTTTTTCTAGAGCAGTTTTGAGACATTGCTCGTTGGTTGTCAGATATAACTTACAAAACTACAGGAAATAAAAAAGTAGTCCAGTGGGTACAACACTCAATCACATATTTGGGAGGGGAAGACAAATGCACATTAGTAGGCAAGGGGTAGACTGTGGATGGAATATGTTTTCTCTTGAACTAGGCTACTCATTTTATTTTCTTGAATCAGATTGACCACCCTCAAGTGACCCAGTGAAATGTATCCACGAGTCAAGGAGGAGGTCACACTCCGAGTGAAAATAAAATGTCACACAAAGAGAGGTGATTTATATTTTTTTACAAGATGTGTAGAATTGCATTTGTTCTAAATAATTTTTACGATTCTTCCACCCCAGAAACAGCATATTTCTGCAGAGAGTCTCTGTTTGTGTGTGTGTACATATATGTATTTTAACTTGGTTGTATTACTTTTAATATAGTCATCAGATTACAAGTGTGGGACTGGAGAAATTAAACTTCAAGTATAATTAGTACACAATATATAAGTATGTCATTACCAATATTAAAAAGATGTACCCCTTTAAAAATACTTCTCCTACACAGTAAGCCAATTTACATCAATATGAGCCTACGCACCTTGATGTAGTCAAACTTGCCATCAGCATTTACATCAGCCAAATTTACTATGGCATTTACTTCTTCTCTAGTCATCTTCTCACCTCTCTGAAAAAACAAGATTTATTTTAAAGCAACATGTCTGTCACTTTGTTATGCATGAGGAGAGTGGAAATCCATTTTAATCTTTTTCACAAGTTTGAATATATGGTTTCATTATAAATCTCAGAATGAGTATTATGTCAAGCAAGAATGAAACTGTTATACAAAATAAAATTTCACAATTTTATTAAATTTTGTTAAAGTGTGCTGAATTTCAGTTTACTAAATTTCAACAACATATATCACAGATCCAGTAATAACTACTATTGAATTCAGAGTAATGATACTTTCTCACATTGTACCAAGACGCAGACTGGATTCCTAAGCCTATTGATGCTGTTTATCTTTTACTTATCACATATGAACCTATCACTGATTTACAGAGTTCTCAGAAGGAAAGAATTGCAGAGGAGCACAAGGGGATTGCAGCATGGGCTCAATTTTATACTTTATCTTTTATTTACAAAGCACCTTTCATCCAGAAGGATCCTTAAGCACTTTATAAACAACATACATATGATTCATTTCACCTGCCAGTGAAACACTTATTTTTAATGTAGACTTTGGTGGTCAAAGCTAGATTCTAAGTTGTTTTGCAAAATATGCATATTACAGATATGCATATCGGTATTACAGATCTTACCTTTGTTAGAAGTTTATAAAGGTCAGTGTGTAAAATAGAGCCATCATCATTTACATCTAATTGCTTAAATGATTTTAGCAGTTCTGCTTTTGAAGTAGGTTTCTCCTTCCTTAAAATTATACAAAAATCATCAAAATTCAGTTTGGCAGTTTGAGGAGTCCAATACTTATTAATGGTCTTTTGGGATGGATTTCTTCCTGCATGCTGAAGAGCTGCCCAATAAAACAAGTATTATTTGTTATAGTAACATCTATATTGGAATTTAAGTGTATTTTTTCTTTAAATCATTATATATTACAATATTATACAAAAGTTCACATATACCAATACATTACCTTTGGTGTGGATAACCTAGTGATATTAACGTATGCCTGACTTTCAAAAATGAAAAATATCTGTTATCAGCTAAAGATTCTTGATTTATTAATATCAGAATTAAATAGATTTTTCCTATTCTGACACTTGTTTCTCAATCTACATAGTTTAATTAACTGATAATACCTGATTTACTTCATAAGAGTGCTTGCAGAAAAAAAAAAGATTAAAAATAACTATCCACTTAACTGTTTGAGGACATAAGAATAACCACAAAAAGTATAAATTATTACTTTTTCTGGCTCAACAAATCTCTTAATGAGGAGATTGTTAGTTTGAGAATATTACTATCAAGCCATAATATCTAAAATGTTCATCATTGCTAGACACTAGAGTTTCAAGAACATTAATCATGTGTCAAATGTCAAACATATGCATAAAAAGTATCTGCTTTAAGTTATAATCCCGCTAAAAATCAGGAAGGTCAACATACTTTGAGAGAAGACTACTATAGAAATGCAACGGTCAAATTATTCTTTTTAACCAAAACATTTAAAAATAGTCCTATAGCCAGTTATTCATAAGAAATGCCTATTATAAAAGCTATGACCTTACAGGCACGAAAAGCAAAGAATTACGATGTGAGAAGGGCTTCATATGTTTGCATACGTCCTATCACACTAAGATATAACAGTTTTATTAAACAATTATGGATATTCTGTACAATTGAATAGGAATAACTTGGTAACTTGCAAATAAACAAATCTCTGCATATTAAGCTTTAACACTATCTAAAATGAACCAGTGATAAGTTTCCTAGAACTACAGGAGGGATTAACAGAATTTTTAAAGGTATGACTGTCCTGAATTGTGCTAGCAACTTCTACTATAAAACTTTATATTTGATACTTCCAACTTTTTTAGGTGAGATTTCACAATATCTCTGCATTGTCAGTAAGCATTAAAAAGTGATAATCTGGATATTCTACAATTTAACGTAATAAGGATTAATATATATAAAACAATAACTAAAGAAATATGCTCAAGGAGATAGAAATCAGATCAGGGTAATAAATACAGACATTTCTGAGTCATTTTATTGAGCATTCATTGTGGACAGCATAATACAGGGTGATTTTTTTTTCAGAGATACAAACTTCTTGGTTCCTAAGAAATTTTATAATCTAAATAGGAAGTCTACACCTGAAGTGTAAAATTGCTACCTGTGGTCGTGGTTTATGTTTAACAACATATTAGAAGTCCATAGACTAAGAGAAATGTTCCCACCCTTCAGCTTACATCAGAGTATCATACCTAGATGAACTTTGGCACAGGAACAAGATAATCATCTAGAGGTGACTTTCAGAGCTAAGAAAAAGTTGTAGGCCTGGTGAATTTTCCATTCACCTAGAAAGCCTTTGTGGAAATTGGTAGCACTGGAGATAACATGACTCTTTTCTTATTTCCACAGGTTTATTCTGGATGTAGAGAAAAGCCCTGACTGCCATGCCACCCTAGGAATAAAAGATAAGTAAGCATTTTGCCTAGGGCATAAACGGACAATTCCTTAATTCATCTATCAAGAGAACCAGGGAAAAGGCAGACATGTTTTAGGATGCCGTCCCCAGCCAACCTCCATCCTCTAAAAGCTGGGAGTAGGACATAAACGAAGTTGTGATTTGAAGCCCATGTGAAAGAAAATGGTATTTTCTGTCTAGCTTTGGGAAACAAGCGTGTAACTCTTTCCCACAAGTGGCAGCTCAGCATACACTTGTTGCTATCTTTAATAACAAAATATTTTTTAAATGTATTGTTAATTACAGAATTTTCTCAATAAAATTAATTATGTCAAAACATGTACTCAGTAAGCAGACATTCTTGTCTAAAAAATAGGTATAACTTAGTAACCTACTAACTTAACTTTAATCTCTAGTTACAGAATTAGTTGGAGCCTATGATTTAAGTCTAATAACAGTAAAAACATTATGTAACTGACGTTTAAAGTTTTACACCAAGATACTGATCTTTTGCCAGGGTTTACTTTAAGCTTTGACATGAGTCTATAATACCTGTATTACTTGTAAGTTGGAAAAAAAAAAAAAAAAAAGGAACTCTACAGCTAAATCTAAATGTCAGATTTTTTTATTTAAAGAAACTGCTCTAAAGTTGGCAAAATAATTCTCTACTCACAAAGTTAGTAGCCTCAAGGAAACTGACATGACCACTCAGTGTTACCTGGTATTGCCGTTCACCTTTTGAGGCTAAAGACCTCCAAGTCATTAGATACACCTGGCAAGACCAAATTCATTGATTTGGGGGATATTTGCAACCAGAGGAATACAAGATATGCTAACGGAGAGAAGCAAAAAAAAAGACCAACCCTCCTCCCAACAAAAAACAAAAAAAAACAAAACCAAGAGGAACTGTTATTTCTCTTTTAGAATTTTACTTATTTCCTAATACTTCTCTTTTATAATCATTCAATCCATTTTTATATATCCTTTACATTTTCCCCAGTACAGGTCAAATTCAGAGTAGTGATTCAGATGCCCAAAGTGTTTTAATTCTATTATAAATCTTAAAATACCAAAATGAGAATTAGAAAAAAAAACTTTAAGCAAGTAACTGATGGAAGCTATAAAAATATTAACCTAGTCTGTAAAAACATTGAAAGTTTTGTGCTGAAGCTCCTAGAATATGTAACTATATAAAATGGCACAATAGCATAATGTAGTCCCGTTGCTCAAGCTTCACTAAGAAATTGAAATGATTCCACAACGTAACTCTAATTCCAGTCTTTCTGATCTCTTAACTTTCAACAAATAAGGCAAAAAAATTAAATGTTAAAAAAAGTTTTACCTAAGTAAAGCTGATCTTTAGAAATAATGTTTTCTAAGCTGCTTTTGAAAACAGTTAGGTAGGCAGCTCTACAATTCATATAAAATATTTCCTCTTCAGTTAGTGGGAATCTCTTTGATCGAGGACTCTCTGAGAGCGTTGATTTCTGACTGGAGAAAGCTGCGTCACTTCCTGGACTGATGGCCATTCTATCAGAAGATAATTTTAAAATTTGTTTTAGGCAATGTTAACCCCCTAAAATGTAAACGGAATCTCGCCTTTCAAATTGGGGGGGGGGGGCGGGGGGGGCAATCAAGACAAAGTTTTTGTAAGTGTAAAAAAAGACGAACATTATAACATTGTTGTATTATCATATGTTAAACTAGGATAAGCCTTCTGCACTCGATTTCTAAATATATATATTACAGATATATTCTATTCTATATAGTTATATACAGAATATATAATGTTATATATTCTATTATATAAATATTTAGAAATGTATTTAGGATTTCTAAATATATGTATTTTGAAATATACATATATATACATATACATATGAAAGAGCCAATAGAACAAAGCCAAAACAAAGATGTAACATAACTACAAAAGCATCAAACAAGCTAATACATGTGAAGCATACACATCAGTGTCTGGTACACAATAAGGACTAAATAAACTGTAGGTAGCGTGCAACGCCACAATAATGAGAATTTGGACATAAGGTGATTGGCAGCTGGCATCCACCTGCACGGCAGGGTCGACCAGGTGACTTCGCTAACACCTCAGTGACAGAGCCCACATTTTAAACGACTGATTTTTAAGCAGCCCCGTTTTCAGCATTTCGCGAGATTTCCTAACGAGAACGTGCTGGGGTGGCCCGGCGCCTCCGCTTGGAGCTCAAGCAGCCGCCCGACATCCCGATTCGGCCCGCCGAGGCGGCCAGGCCTTTCCGTCCGGCCCGGACGCGGACGGCGAGGGGCCGGGGCCGGGCGGTCAGCGGCCCTCCCTCGCGTGCCGGGCCGGACCCCCGCTGAGCGCCGCCGAGGCCGGGCCGGGGCCGGAGCACGCGCGCGAACGGGCCCGAGACGCCGGCCGCGCGCAGGACACAGACCCTCAGGGCCATGGCGGGGCACACCCCTGCGTGGCGGCGTTCACCGCTCCATCCGGGGACCCCGGACACGAGCAGCACACAGCGGGGGGCGCCGCCCGCTACCTGCCTGCGTCCGGCACCAGCCCGCCTGCCCCTCGCCTCTGCCGCCGCCGGCCTCGCCCGCCTCCAGTTACCATGGCAACTGTGCCTCGCCGCCGCCGGAAGTACAAGGCGGAGCACCGCCCCAAGCGGTCCGGCTGGAAATGTAGGGAGGGGAGACCCGGAGAGGCCCTAGACGGTTCTGTGCTCTTCTCTGGGGCTGTTGCCGCCGGAGTCGTGAGAGGAAGTCCTGGGCTGCCCCGGCGGGACCTCGCTGGCGTCGCGGGCGTAGACCACCCCTGCCCGCTTCCCCGCGGACCGTCGGAGCCCGCGTCGCGGGGCGGCTGTTTCCGGGGGGCCGCCTTGAGGTGACGCCGCGTCGGGTGCCCGCGCTTTTTGGGCCCGGCGGCGCCCTGGGCCGGTCGTATCTTGGAAGAGGCGGCTCCGGCAGTGCCGCCCCGGTGGGGCTAACCTGGTGCGGCTAACCTCGTGCTGACATGCCGTAGGTATCACGCCGTCGTGGGGCCGCGCGCCCTCGCCTCCGGCCTCCGAGGCCCCCGGACGGGTCGGGTGCGCCCGCCTCGCGCTCCACCCGCTGCGCCTCCCGCCGCGCCTCCTCCCTCCTCCTCCCGGGCCTCCCTGTGGCCCGCGGGTCTTCGCGGCTGTGGACGGACGCTGTCTCTGGGCGCCGTGTTTAGTGATGTGTTCAGCCTGACGTAATTTCAGATGTGTTGGCCACACCGAGAATGGGGCAGAGGAGACGAAACCCTCGCCCTATAACTTGGTAGAGCCCGTGGGTGCCCAGATGGGTGTGGTGCGTCCCTATAGACTGGGGGGGACTCAGGGCCTGGGGTCGGGAGACCTGGATTCAGGCTCTCAGACCGGGAAGCGTGGCCAGTTCGGTGAAGAGCTGTCCACCGTTGGCAAGTCACTTGGCAGCTCTGGGCTTCGACGTTCTTACTTGTGGCTGCCCTCTAGAAACTTTTTTTAAGTTCAGTAAACCACTCTTTTTGGGCGGGGGGGGGGGAGGGATAATATCCAACATGCGAGATACTCTGGCTGCCCCTTTTCCCCGGTCTGGCTTGGGTACCCCTTCCTGTGCACTCCTAGAGTAACTTATTCCTCCCTTATTTTCAGGTTTGAGCAAAATGCAAAGTAACACAACGGGGTAGATATTTGTATCAAATAGGAATTGACATGAAAGTGGACAGATGCGCAGAAATAATAACCTGCATTTGTTGAATCTTTAACGGTGGTTTGAGTACTGTTTAGCAGTTTACCTCCATTTTCTTGATGAATCTTAAAAAAGAAACTTAGGAAGTAGGGGCTGCTGTTATCTCCACTTTCCAGATAAGGAAACTTAGCGCCTAAGATGGTCTGCTACACACAGGTATCAATAAATAGCAGAGTTTCACTTATACCCTTCAAAGTTACGGATTATTGAAGAGATTTTCCTTCCCCTGGAATTAAGGAAAAAGACTTGGCTCCCTTCTGTTGCGCTAGAAAAATAACCCGGTTAGCACATACACAAAGCTGCGAGGGTAATGCAGGAAAATCCCTGCTAAGTACGAATTCACTGGAAACTGGTGTGTATTTGCTTAACGTGGTAGTACTGCCTGAACTATGTTCCTGTTCTGTAATAGGTAGTGGGAAACCAAAAAACTATTCAAGTGGAACTTTTAGGCAACTGTTTTCTTAACATGTTAACAGGTACATGTTATGTTAGGAGAATCTGTAGTAAATATATTCTGACGACAAATACGTGACCTTGAAGTTGACATCCCAAATATACAGTCGTCTCTTGTTTCGGCAGGTGATTGGTTCCAGAACCCTTGCCAGACCAAAATCTGCAGATGCTCAAGTCCCTTAAAATGGTGTAGTGTTTGCATATAACCTCTGCACATCTTCTGTATACTTTACATCATCGCTAGATTACTTCTGACAGCTAATACAATGTAAATGCTATGTAAATAGTCGTTAGACTGTATTGTTCAGGAAATAATGACAAGAGAAAAAAGTTTGTACGTGTTCAGCACGGACGCAGCCGTCACAGGCCTTTTGATTCGGGATGCAGAACCTGTGGCTGTGGAGGGCCAACTGTATCGCAGCTTCACCGAGTTTATATATTTCGGCAAAGTGATTTAACACCAAATTAATGGTTAAATAATGCATAAAGCATAATAGCATTTTAGTAGAGGATCTCCATCATTGTTAGTAAGCTTTTATTTTTCAATGTGGTTAAACCGTAAAGTCGCAAATGGTGGTGCAAAAAGTCATGTTGGCAAAGTTACGTGTGAAGGTGGTACAGTTTTTAAGTAATGTTGAGATGGTGGCTTTTTGGTAGGCACTTGCAGGACTAAGTGGGGTTGTGTGAACTATTTCCTTTCTAATTTCTTTGAACCTTGACAGGAAAAAAATGTAATGAGTAATTGTGGAGATATACTTGGCCTAAAAGAATAAATAGAATCCTAAATAGAATTAAGTAGAATTCCTAAAATAAATAGGAAAGAGCAAATGTCCAATGACAATAGAGTGGATGGGTGAATCATAAAACATACTGGATGGATGAACCAATTTGTAGCAGATACATATAGTATATTATCTTTGTAAAGCTCTTGAAGAACAAGCAAAAATAGACATTTAGGATTATGTGTGTGCTTGTGATAATGTTATTAAGGAAAAAAGCAGGGAAATGATAAATAGAAAATTCAGTTTAAGGGTTACCTTTCTGGAAAAGCAGACGGAATAGAGAAGAAGTATAGAGGTGTCCATACCCATATTGGTAATAATCTACTTCATAAATTGTGTGGTGAGCTTATAAGTGTTTATTTTCTTATCATTTTCTTATTAAGGTTCATAATTTGCTCATCTTACATAGATTCTTTTTTTAGATTTTTTAAATTAAGGTCATAATAGTTTATAACATTGTGAAATTTCAGTTGTACGTTATTATTTGTCAGTCACCATATAAGTGTGCCCCTTCACCCTTTGTGTCCACCCCCAAACCCTCTTCCCTCGGTAACCACTGAACTGTTCTCTTTGTCCGTGTGTTTGTTTATCTTCCACAAGTGAGTGAAATCAGATGGAGTTGGTCTTTCTCTGTCTGGCTTATTTCGCTCAGCATAGTACTCTCAAGGTTCATCCGTGTTGTTGCAAATGGGACAATTTTCTTTTTTTTATGGCTGAGTAGTATTCCATTGTATATATATACCACATCTTCTTAATCCAATGATCAGTCGATGGGCACGGGGCTTGCTTCCTTGTCTTGGCTGTTGTGAATAGAGCTGCAGTGAACATAGGGGTACATAAGTCTCTTTGAATTGTTGACTTCAAGTTCTTTGGATAAATACCCAGTAGTGAGATATCTGGGTCATATGGTATTTCTATTTTTAGTTTTTTGAGAAATCTCCATACTGTTTTCCATAGTGGCTGCACCAGTTTGCATTCCCACCAGCAATGTCTGAGGGTTCCCTTTTCTCCACAACCTCTCCAGCATTTATTTTTTGTCCTGGTGATTATAGCCATTCTAACAGGTGTAAGGTGATAACGTCATTGTTTTGATTTGCGTGTCCCTGCTGATTAGTGATGTTGAGCATCTTTTCATGTGCCTATTGCCCATCTGTATATCTTCTTTGGAGAAATATCTGTTTGTATCCTCTGCCCGTTTTTTGATTGAGTTGTTTGGTTTTTTGTTGTTGAGTTGTGTGAGTTCTTTGTATATTATGGAGATTAACTCCTTGTTGGATATATGTTTTGCAAATATGTTCTCCCAATTGGTGGGTTGTCTTTTTGTTTTGTTCCTGGTTTCCTTTGCCTTGCAGAAGCTCTTTAATCTGATGAAGTCCCACTTGTTTATTTTTTCTCTCGTTTCCCTTGTCTGAGAAGACATAGTATTCGAAAAGATCCTTTTAAGACCGATGTCAAAGAATGTGCTATGTATATTTTCTTCCATAAGTTTTATGGTTTCAGGTCTTACCTTCAAGTCTTTGATCCATTTTGAGTTTATTATTGTGTATGGTGAAAGATAATGGTCTACCTTCATTCTTTTCATGTGGCTGTCCAGTTTTCCCAACACCACTTATTGAAGAGACTTTCCTTTCTCCATTGTATGTTCTTAGCACTTTTGCCGAAGATTAGCTGACCATAGATGTGTGGTTTTATTTCTGGGCTTTCGGTTCTGTTCCATTGATCTTTGTTTCTGTTTTTCTGCCAGTACCATGCTGTTTTGATTACTGTAGCTTTGTAATATATTTTCAATTCAGGGATTGTGATGTTTCCAGCTTTGTTCTTTTTTCTCAGGATTGCTTTAGCTATTTGGTGTCTTTTGTTGCACCACATGAATTTTAGGATTCTTTGTTCTCTTTCCATGAAGAATGTCATTGGGATTCTGATTGGGATTGCGTTGAATCTGTAGATTGCTTTGGGTATTGTGGACGTTTGAACTGTGTTTATTCTTCTAACCTATGAGCATGGAATATCCTTCCATTTCTTTGTGTCATCATCAATTTCTTTCAGTAATGTCTTATAGTTTTCATTGTATAGGTCTTTCACTTCCTTGGCTAAATTTCTTCCTAGATATTTTATTCTTTTTTGTTGCAGTTGTAAATGGGATTTGTATTCTTGAGTTCTCTTTCTGTTAGTTTGTTATTAGAGTATAGAAATGCAACTGATTTTTGTAAGTTGACTTTGTACCCTGCAACTTTCCCGTAGTTGTTAATTATTTCTAATAGTTTTCTGATGGATTCTTTAGGGTTTGCTATATATAAAATCATGTCATCTGCAAACGGTGAGAGTGTCACTTCTTCATTTCCTATTTGAATT